GAATATGTATGAATAGAAGAATGACTGAATAATACAATAACATTCACACAGTGATACATTATGGAGCCATTAGAAATAACAGATTGGATCTGTCAGTGGGGGAGGGGGAGAGGAGGGAGATCCTCCTTCCCTACAAGTATTGAATGAGAAGAGCAAGATGCAAGGAAGTTTATGTAACATAATCCCAGTTATGCCAATAATGATCTGATAAAATCTTTGTAAAAATGTATAAGTATATATGTTTTCATATAATTACATGAGCAGGGACAAAAACACAGATAGGAACTGGGTGATTTTAACGTGGGTCATGGGGGGAGCAGATAGTTGGCATGGATATGGAAGAGGGAGCAAGAGTGGACAAGAGATGCCAAGCATGTCAGAAATAGGAAAGCAAATTGTCATCCACAGGGGTGTGTGGGGGGAGCATAAGATTATATTTACAAATGTATGTTAATCATGTATTTAAATGTAATTTTAAAAAGAAAAAGTTCTGTGATGAAAAAGTGAAATTCTCCCAGCGTGGCCATTCCTTTTCTTTGTTATTCTTGCTTCTTGACTTATAAATTTATTTTACAACTTAGAAAAAATACAAATTGACTGTTTAATTGATACATTTGTTTTTTCCTCTTTGAATAGGTGAAAACACTTTTCAAATCCAAGTGTGTATTCTTAGTAACTCTGCAAGGTAGATAGTAACTTTTTAAGTACTACTTGATCATGTCAGAAAATACAGTTTCTCTTGAAAGTATACTTACAGAAGATTTTCTCTACTGTAAATTTCAGCTGAGATTATATACCAGAAATTGGTACCAGAAATGCCCTGAAGTGTAACACATTCTTCTCAGGGACGCAGAAGAGAAGAGAGTCCTCCTACCAAGGCACTTATAGCCCAGAGGACAGGGGAAGCTCATAATTTCATTTAAAGCCAGAACATGTGGCTTCTCTGACTGTAACAGAAAGATAACCTTATAAGCAGGAGGCCAGCGCCCAGGCAGATGTAGATGTTCATCTTGTCATATTCTCACTTCATTTTGTACATGTTGCTGTTGTAATAGTGATGATTGTTTTACTCATTTATGTGAATATCCTTGAAAGTATATGTATTCTTACCTTGCTTCCTGCTATAATCCCAGAGCACTTAACAAAGCTGTTGTTTAGGCTGGATGCGGTGGCTCACACCTGTAATCCCAGCATTTTGGGAGTCTAAGGTGGGAGTATCACTTGACGCCAGGAGTTCAAGACTAGCCTGGACTAACATAGTACAACTCCATCTCTGTTTATAAAAATAAACAAAGCTATTGTTTAGACATTATTTATTAAATGAATCAGTCCCTGCCTCCATCCTTCTTCTCATCCCTGGTGCTTACCACAATAAATAGCACATGTTAGCTGTATAGTTTCTTGATGATTGAATTAGTAGACGTGTGAGATGGACTTGAGGTGTAGGCTCTTTAGGAAAAGAACTGATTAAAATAGCTCCGAGGAAAATGGAAGAGTCGGGAAGTAGAAAGATTTGGTGAGGACAAAGAACAGGTGCTGTGGAAATAGTGATAAGAATAGGAAGTTATGGTCAGAATGCAGGATAGTTGCATCTACAATTTCAGCAGTGGAGCAATTCTGGGTGGTTAGGGTCTAGTAGCTAATACTATAGATAAAGCACCCTGGTGATCGAGGGGATGGGGGGAACTGCATATTTTGGCATTTGAGGCTGTACTAGTAAAACTGCCAGTTCCCTACCTAATATACTAGTAAAACTGCCAGTTCCCTACCTAATATCTCTAACGCAAAACCCACTGTGAAGGAAATCCAGCCCATACATACAAAGCTCCTAAGTGGAATTTCAGTGCCTGAACAGACAACCAAGGATTACTACACAGTTGAGGAAAGGCTTTCAGATCAGAGAGCCTCTAAGGGAAGAAGAATCCAGAAAAAAAACAAAGATATGCAGAAAACTTAGACGATTTTCAGAAAAAAGAATAGAGATGATTTTGCATACCTAAAACAAGAAAAGGGTGTTGTGGAAAAGGAGCATTCAAGAGCGCAAGAAAGTTTTCAGCAATTTTAAAGATCACAATAAAAAACTCAGTAGAAGGATTAGAAGATCAAGTTGAATCAAGCACCCTCAAAATAGAAGCAATAACAAAGAGTAGAAAACAGTCACTGCACCTGGCCACGTTTACAGATTCTTTATAAGGCAAATGCCGTTTATGGATTTGACTTAAAATAGTGATGCAGGTAAGAGCCAAACCCACAGTCATCATTACAGGAATTAAACTGTTAAGGTCTCAAATTAGGCTGGATTTGGTGGCTCACACCTGTAATACCAGCACTTTGGGAGGCCAAGTTGGGCAGGTAACTTGAGGTTAGGAGTTTGAGTCCAGTATGGGCAACATGCGAAACCCTGTCTCTACAAAAAATACAAAAATTAGCCGGGCGTGGTGGCATACGCCTGTAACCCCGGCTACTTGGGAGGGGTTGAGGTGGGATGATGGCTTGAGCCTAGGAGGTGGAGATTGCAGTGAACCAAGATTGTGCCACTGCACTCCAGCCTGGGCTACAGAGACCCTGTCTTTAAAAAAAAAAAAAGGTCAATAGCAACCTTAAGCATACCATGTAGAGATGGGAACAAACTTAGCCTCCCCATGCATATTGCAGTATATCATTAAGTGGAAAATGAACAGGGCAAAAAAGAATAAATAATATGAAATATATATATGTAGTTATAGAAGTTTCTTAAAGATATCAAAAAACTATTTCTAAAGGAAAAATGTGATTAGATGTTGATTTTTTTAAAAAAATTATTAATGAAAAATAGCAGAAATTGAACACCGAAGATTGAAGCTAGAAGAGATTACTGCTAGCTAGGGGGACATTAGAGAAACTTTGTCAAAGGGTAAACACCTGAATTAGGCTTTGTCATTACACACGAACATAGGTAGGAAAGTGTAAGATCTCATAGCTACACGGGCTCTTTATTTACAGCGTTCTATCTTACCATTAACTGTGTTGCTGGAGGAATAGCTAGTTCTAACTGATGTGTAGATCAATAGAATTAAGCAACAATCATGTTAATTCCATTTATTAAATATCCTTTAAAACACAGCTTGTACTTGTCTACTTTATTAAGCTTAGTATTGGGAGATAGCTTAAGGATCTCACTGTGCTGTAGATTAAGTGGGCAGTTACTGTGTGCTTGGTTTGTGCCCACTTTTCCCCTAGATTTTTGCTTCAGTCATCACTCCTAAGAGTTGCCTGTCCCTTATAAAAAGGTTGTTAAGTGCAGTTTCTTAGGGTTACTGTGCCTTTTAACATGAAAACTTTCCTGGAAAGTATCATCTAAAATAATGAAGAATCACTTTCCAAACTGGATACTTGTGCACACCTCCTTTAAAAACGTTTCTCAACCTTGATTGAAAATGGAGTCACATCTAGAAAGAAGCTTTAAAAAACTGCCAGTGCTTGAGTTCCATTCCCAGAGATTTCCCTGACATGGGTTGCAGACATTGGCTATTTTTGAAGCTTTTCAGGTAATTCTGAAGGACAAAGACTGAGACCTACTGTTTAAAGAAAAATACTCATTAAGACATACCCACCACTATGTAATTTAAATTATTTTTATTATGATGGTTACTTAAATATGGATAAACTAACATTAGATTGAAATTCCTTATGCATGTAGTTATATAGAAAACACATTTACGCATTAAAAACAAACTGAAATTAATAGATTCAAAACAGATGGATAGATGATGATGTTTTGTTAATACTTTTGTGTGTTTTTCCTTCTGCATGGTCTGTTAAATCCTTCCCACCTTTATCAGTCTGGGTCCATTTGGGATTTTGAAACCACCCAGTGTGTTTAAAACAAGGAAAGTTTAATATGAGGAATAATAAAACTGTGAGAAAAGGGTAACTCTAGAAAACTATATGGTACCTAGGTCTGAGAGAAGTGCCCAAGGAAGGACCAACTTTGGAAGGAAGCCCCCTTCAAGGCTAGGGAGGATCACAAGGGACAACTCTGTGGATGGGGTGAGTGGCAGGAGACCTGGGCCCTCGGTGTCTATGTTGAGATGGTCATGAGAAGGTGACGCTAGACCACACCAGAACCACAAGGTTGCTGAGAAACCACCCATGCTGGGCCCATAGCTGGAGCCATTGCAGGGTGGCCTCACACCTACATGCCTACCCTCACTCCTCTTAGCAGCTAGAAACAGAAGGGCACTTTCCTCCTGCAGTGTCCCTAGGGTGCCCTCTACTGAGAAAGCTCCACATTGTACTCACTGAAAGGAGAAATGTTTAAAGGAACTCAGTTATTATCACAGAGCAAATGTTTAAGGGTGACTTTGGAGCAAATAGTCAATGAATCAATCACTGGCATAACACCCTATGCCAGCCAAACTCTCTTTCAAGTTTTCAGCGCTAGCTCATAGGCTGCTGTGACCTCTTCTGAGCAAAATTGCTCTATGTTGTGTTCCAGTGTATCTTCATAGTAGCTCACCGTGCTGTATGGGAATCTTCGTTTTTTTTTTTTTTTAAATTAGCTTATCAAATAAACACAATTATAGTGTACCTAAGAATCACCTCCAAAGATTCTGATTTGGTTGTGCTAGGGTGGAAACTAGGAATCTACGTTTTTAATAGGCACCCCAATGATTCTAATGATGGTGGTCCCTGAGGTAGCACTTTGAGTAATATACCGGTCGGTATTTCTCAAATACATACTGGGGGCTGGACTGTAGAAGCTGTATCTTATGTGATATTGTGCCCTTATCCCCAACACAATGTCTCATGATAGGTTGGTGCTGTGCAGTGGGGGCTGAATGTAAGACAACCAGTCACTGACTTACTGCTGTGCTGTTGGGAAGTATCCCTTTCTAATACCTCAGAGTGTCCTTCTGTATCCCATATGCGAAATTCTGACTTAAGACTTTCAGCAGCTAATGCTTTTTAATTTTTTGACTTAACATGATCATTATACTTACACTAGTTTTCTTTAATAGGGAGAAAGAGCAAGAAACACAAGAAGAGGAACGTTTGATGGAAGAAAAGAAAAAGAAAAAGCAGGAAGAAAAGAAAAAGAAGGAAGGTGCTCAGAAAAAGGTTTGCTTAAAGTTTCTACTTCATTGTCTTTGTATCATTGTGTGTCTCATTTGTATCATCATAACCCTTACATGACAAAGTTTCATTCTGTTACTTTTTAAACCAATATGCCAAGTCTATGATTAGCAAATAATAGATATCCTACTGGTGAAATAAATACAGGTGACAGCCATATATTTCTAACTTGGAACTAGGCATATTAGAGCTGTGTTTTAAAGAAGCCGTGTTTTGGTTTGTGGTGGTAAAGTGTGTCCATGTTTTCTACTTAAAATGAACTGTCCCGAACAGCCATGTCCAATAAATGAAGAAAGGGCCATTCAAGTGATCTTATTAGAAAAGTTAGAAATAATTTTTTTTTTTTTTGCAGCTTTGGCAAATGTTCTTTTACAAATCCTATTAGTAAAGATTAAAAATAAAAGCCCTACTGTAAACTTTATAGTCAAGCTCAAATTTTATGGCATTTAAAATACCAAGTTATGCCATTTGTCTTTGTTCTTCCTAGTTTAACATATCTTGTAGTTTAAACTGTTTGCTTGTCAGAGGCTGTTAAAATTATAGCACTTAAATGAGCTCCAGATAGAATTTTTTGCCTTTAGGTTAATATTGTCGTGTAATCAGTGGCACATAGACAGCTACACATTTTTCCCACTAATTATAATAAATTAACTGGGCAAAAACTCATTTTTAAAATTTTCAGTTAAAAGTTTGCTTATAAACGTTCATAGATGTGTATATTCTATACATTATTATTCCTAAAGAGTTTCTTTTTTTTTTCCCCCAGGCTGCTGATCAAAAAACCAAAGGTAAGTTTATTTATATTTGGGGGGGTATATTTACGGCAGTATCAAAATTTTTATGATCTAAGCCTGCCTTTGAAACTACTCTTTATTATTCATTGTGAAATTCCTCATTTATCACTGGTTTTACATCTGCATCTCACTGGCATTTGGTTAATCTAAAAATGCCTGAAAAATGTTGTGTTAGCTTTTCAAACAGTGCTTTTAAATTTTCTTTTGGTTCATTTCCACCAAACAGGACTGAACTGATAAAGTTGATTCAGTTTGAATAAGAACAACCAAAGGATATCTGCATTTTTTTTTTTAGGTTCCAGTGTGTCTTTGCCAGCTATCCTTTATGATAAAAAAGGTATATTCTTTCTGGATTCCCTCTTTGCTTATTGATATGTAAAAGATTTCTCTTTGTATCCTCCATGTCCAGAATTTGCTGGTTTTTATAAAAGGTGTTGGTGGAAACACGCATTTCTTGCTGTAACTCAGGCATCCTGTGATGTGCTAGAGATTCAGAATAATGAACTGAAAGCCACACTCAAGCCTCTTCATGTTATACATGTATGTTTAGTTATTTTCCAGTGGCTAAGAGCGCACACTCAGGAGTTACATACACTAACTCTGTTTAATTTGGGACAAGTTACTCCATTTCTTTAAGCTTCAGGTATCTCATATTTAAAATGAGAAAGGTAGTGAATGGTTCCTACATCATAAAGCTGTTATAAAGACCAAATCAATACAATTGTCAATTAAAAATAAAATGTAAAAAAAAGACTAATTGAGATCATGCAGGAAAATGGCTGAGTACCTAGCATATAATTGGTGCTCAGTAAAAAGGTTTGCTATAACTGTTATTCTGAAGTTTTTGTTTTCCACTGGATCACATGTACACAGCTGTACATGTAGACACATGCACTCTCACAGCTAATACTCTACTTTTGTGTGACATTTTATAGTTTTCAAAGTCTAGGTTATGTATATTATCTCATCTGAACTTCATAGTTGAACAGGAAAGGAATTTGTTTACCGGTAATCTACCATGAGTTAAGAGGCTGGTTCTTGGTTAAGAACCAGTTAGTGGTAAAGACAAGACTTGAGGGAGCCCAGATCTCTGAACCTCTAGACTAGAGTCACATGAAGAGAGGGAGTTAATGTTCAATGAATATTAAAAAGCAGCATAGCAAAAAAGACATTTTTCTCTCATACTCTCAGAAGCACTGTGAATTTACATAATACTTTTCCAGAAGGGCCCAAAAGGGTTATGGTACATAGTTGTATTTGAATATATGATCTTGAATGGAAACAATGGTTTCTAACAATTGTCATTTCAAAATATAGAATTATCTGTTCTGGATCATCCGTCTTTTCTTCTTTTTTCTTTTCAATATTTTGGGTTTTTCAGTCTGATTCAGCACTGTTACAGTCTTTGTCGTTGTCATTGCTTTCTCCTCAAGTAGTAACAAATTGCTTATTACTGAATAGTGATTGTGAATTACGGTGTCCCGCCACTTTACGCGGAGCTATTATTTTCTATTACTGTTCTGATGAGAAATTTCTCTCTCTTTTTTTGAGACATACCCTTGCTCTGTCACCCAGGCTGGAGTGCAGTGGCACAGTCTCGGCTCACTGAAACCTCTGCCTCTCAGGTTCAGGTGATTTTCCTGCCTCAGCCCGCCTAGTAGCTCGGATTACAGACTCGCACCACCACAGCTGGCTAATTTTTTGTATTTTTGGTAGAGACTGGATTTTGCCAGGCTGGCCAGGCTGGTCTTGAACTGCTGACCTCAAATGATCTGCTCCTGCTTGGCCTGCCAAAGTGCTGGAATTACAGTTGTGAGCCACTGTGCCCAGCCTCTGTTGAGAATTTTTATTGCTGACTCTAAACGCTACTGGATTTTTCTCTTCTCTTCCTATATCCTCTAAAATACTGTTCCTTTGGGTACAGTTTATCAGTAGCTGCTAACTAGCCTTAGGATGGGTTGTAATAATAATTAATGTCTTTCTAAACAAAAAATGCTTTTTGAATTATAAATAATGTAACAGTACTGCTAGGTAATTCATTGATGAATATTAGCAGCATCAAGGTTTATGTTTATCTCAGACTCTACATTATTACTGGTTCAACTCAAAATTCACTGCCTGAGAAATACTGGTTACAACTTTCTGACTGGACACTGTGTCGGGTGACACAGCCTGGACTGACTGTACACATGAATACATATTATAGTACTAGTATTAGTGTTCACACAAAACTGATGCTTTTCTAACATTCTCGCATTTTGACTTCTCTCCCCTGCTCCAGACTGTGTGTCCATGAGGGCAGGGGCCACATTTGCCATGAGGCAGCACCCAGAATTCTCAGGGCCTGAGTCATTTGAATATAGGAAAGTGTTTAGCAATTTGAGAGAGTTTGAGAGTTGGATACTTTTAAGAGAGAGGCTACAGTTATAAATTAGATTGTATGATATGCTGAATCAATTAACATTGTGGAAAGAAGTTTGAGTAATTTTGGTTTTGATAATTAGCTCAAACTAGACCATATCAATTAGAAATTCCCTTGTTCTGCAATATTACACACCACTCAACTAGCAGCATTAGTAAAGTAGTGCCCCAGTTGTTTAGCATTATATTTGACTTAATTTTCTCAATAACAGAAATGCTTTCAATTTTTATTCGTTTTAAACATTTTTAAGGAACTTTTTAGAATACGTATCACACTCATCTATTATACCCCTCTACCTTCTCCTGGAGAATATTAATGAGTCACTAATCCATTTTTAATAGATAAGTCTTCATTAGAACATTAATTGTACCTAAAAAATTTTTGCATCTGGCTATAACCATTGAACTTGAACTATGAAGTTTGTTTTCTTGTTTTGTTTTGTTTTTGAGACAACAGTCTCACTGTTGCCAGACTGGAGTGAGAAAAGGCACAGTCTTGGCTCACTGCAACCTTTTCCTTGATTGTCTCAGAGAGTCTTGGGTTGCTGTCATATTCAACTTTTTCTTATTTTTGTCTCCTGTGATGAAAAAGAAAAGTTGTATATTCTCATTGAAAATAATTTGAGATTATCTAAAGAGAAATTAGGGTTCACTTGAAATCCCTCTGTCCTGAGATATTTACCCATTAACAGTTTGTTCACCATCCTTGAATGCATCTCTCTATGAATTCATATACATAAATATATATTGATAGGGACTCTCTACTGTTCCCCACAGTTAGCACTCCCAGATCCCAGTCCCTTTCAGGAGCTGCACCAAGCAATTTGGAAACCTCTGAAGGAGCCTATTCATAAACAAACTAGTCCTTTGTAAATTCTGCTGAATATTGTCTTTGCATTGGTGATCAAAGAAAGAGACTGCTGAACACAATTACCTGTTAGCCTTAGTGAGACCCTAGATGCTCCCATACTGGGGGAAAAGGGAATCAGATAGAATCCTATTGCTGTTAACTTGTGCATGTAGCTCTCTCTGGAGTAACTAGGGTCCAAGTGTCACTTCATACTGGCATGGGTTTTGTGACTGTAATGAGTAATCAGTTTTATTTTTGTCACTGCCATTAATTTAGGCACTGGTAATAGTAGCTTTATTTGTGATGTAATGACCTTGTGAGCCTAGGTTTTCAGTATTGTTTTCATGGATTGAGTGAGGAGTGTGTATTTTTTTTTTAAATGATTATGATAATTCTCATAAATGTGAAAACTTAATTCATTGGCTTTTAGCGAGATATTTTTAAGTTCATAAAGTAGATATTTTCATACAAGAAGCTCAAAGTTAGTCTTACTGTGTATGAAAAGAGTATCTTAATGACGCAGTATGGCTCATGCTCTATGTCATTAATGAATTATGATTTTTAAGTCACATACATTTAAATTTGTACTTTTTCTGAGAAAGAGAGGGTCTCACACTGTCACCCAGGCTGAAGTGTAGTGGCACAAACACAGCTCACTGCAGCCACCACCTCCGAGGCTCAAGTGATCCCCCCGCCTCAGCCTCCCAAGTAGCTGAGACTACAGGTGCATGCCACAGTGCCTGGCTAAGTTTTTGTTTTTGTTTTTTTTGTTTTTGTTTTTTTTTTAAGAGAGACAGCGTCTTGCTGTGTTGCCCAGGTTGGTCTCACACTCAGGCAGTCCACTGACTTTGGCCTTCCAAAGTGCTGGTATTACAGACGTGAGCCACCAGTTCAGCCTAAATTCATATATTTAATTAGTATCCTAATCTGTTTGTAAAGAGTTTAATTTCAGTTTTGTAATGAGGTATTAAACTTGACCATGCATTCAGTTTGTAATTGGTGAACAGAACCTCTAGGTGCTTTCGTTTATAATGTAAGTCAGTTGAAGCCATGGTCTTCCAGTCGTTTTCGGTTGAGTGATGAGGGTTTTAGGGTCACAAAGTATTGGCAGTGTGCTTAGGCTCATTTGAAACATACAAAGTTTTCTATCATCAAAAATGAAAAGTAGTGAGAATTGAGTTTTATAGCATGTCTTCCCAATTTTATAGTCACAAATAGAAATATATGTTTTTCATATTTATTTTTCTACAACCACATAATGGGGCTGGAGACGTGGGTATTCTGCATCTGTTATCAGTAGAATCATTAATTTTAGGAAAGAACTTAAGGTGTTTTCAAATAAGGCTGAAAAAATTTACTCTATGAGGAATCTTCAGGGGATGGCATCTTGTAGGTTTTGAAATATGTCTTTCCGTAGCTATGTTGCTTTATGTTTAAAGTGTTTATTTACTGTTGAATACCAAGGGAGAAATGTAAATATTAATTTTTTTCCATGGAAACAAAAGAATGTATTAAGATGAGACATTTTTTAAATATGTAAATTCAGAAGGGTGAAAATGTATTGCCAGAACCTCCAAGTAGGTATGTGAACGTTTAAGTTGTTGATCAAATGTGCAAGAAAGGAAGTGAGCCTAGCAATCGGAAGTGGTGTGCTGTGCTCCAGGGGCATCTCCCAAGGGCACTTCTCCTAGTCTCAGATGAAGTGAATGTTCACATCTCTGTTTCACATGACTTTTCACTAAAACTTAAACAGAAAGGCAGTTTCTGTGTTTAGACAGTTAGTTTGTAACTCTAAAGGATGCTGACAATCTGCTTTCTAAGAAATAATTTGTTGACCCAGCTCAGTTTCTTTTCTGTGTTTTTTAAAAACAGCTTTACTGAGTTATTGTTGACATTATATTTTAAGAGAACAATTAGACAAGTGTTGGCATGTATTCACCTATGAAACCATCACCACAATCAAGATGACATCCATCATCCCTGAAAGTGTTCTTGTGACCTTTTCTGATCCATCTCTTCTGTCCCCACCCTGCCCCCATCTGTCTCTAGGCAAACACTGATCTGCT